CCCGCCCCGCCGCCGCCCCGCGTCCTCACCGACGTCCATCCAGGGCGGCGGCAGCAGGCGACACTTCTGTCTCTGCTTCAGGCTGACGGCCAGCCACAGCGGCACGTCCACCGGGAGCCCAGGGTCAAACGGGCCCAGCTCCCCCTGTCGGGGCAGGAGAGGGTGTCGGCGGCCGGAAGCGAACGCCGGAGGGACGCGGCCCCGGCGCGGGACTCCAGGAGCCGCCGCCCGCCCCGCCCTCCGGGGCCCGCGGCCGGAGGCGCTCACCCCGATGAGGTAGATCTTATCCAGACTGAAGTTAGGGATGATAGTAACCAGCTCCTTCTCGGCCAGGAACTCTACCTCGGCGGCATCCATGACGACGCTACTCGCCAGCAGGGCGCTCCTGAAAGCCCTCGGCTTCTCGCAAGGGGCGACTAGACAGCCGCCTTTCCCGCCACGGAGTAGGGCCCGCCCCCGGCCGGAAAATAGCTTCCGACGACCAATCGGAACGCAGGGCGGGCCGAGGCGCGCAGCGCGCTTGTGACGAGCCCGCGGATTGGTGAGTCCGAGCGAGCCTGCGTGGGCCCCGCCCCGTCGGGCGGGCCTGCTCCGGCCGCCGGCTCCCGCCCCGTCACGTGCCCTGGCCCCGCCCAGCCGGGCCCTGGACTCGCCCGCCGGCCCCGCCCCGGTCATGATCTGGCCCCGCCCTGCTGTCCCTTCCCTCCCCGCACTCAGGCCTCGCACCAAATCCACCAAATCGGTGCCAGGTTCGGGGTCCCTTCTCCTGTCTCCCAGCACCCGCCGGCCAGTGAGGCTGGGAGTGGGGTGGGGGCCGCGTCGTCACCAGTGTTCTGCGCTGGGCCAAGAGGAAACGCATTCTTTCAGAAACCTGCTGGGGCACCCACCCGGACAGGGCCTGGCCTGTCCAGACATACAGCAGAATGGAGAAAGCGTTTTCCTTTGCGTTCACAATCTTCTGCGCTCTCTCTGCGCTTTAGATCAAAGTCTATAAAAACACAGCCCCGCCATCTCAGCCCACCCTGTCCCGTCACAGGGGAAAAGGCTCGTAGCCGAGCTTAGCAAGCCCAGGTGAGGCTGCCGCAGGTGGGACGCGCAGATGGCTGTCGACTGCACACCTGCTCCGAGCGGCGTCCTGGGCCTGGCACAGCTGAGCTCAGTGCTGGAGAGAGGCACCCATCAGGGCTCTGCTGGGCTCTTCTGGGAAGTACCAGTGAGATCTGAACCAGGACCCGGTGGTACCAGTAGGTGGCTTAACCCAGGGAAGTCTCCAGGGAGGGCTGGATTCGGTGTGAAGCCCTAGCCATTGGGCCCTGAGAAAAGCACAGAGAATGTGGTTCCAGGGCTTCCCATCCGAACAGGAAAGCTGCCTCTCCCTCCTGGTCCCTGAAACCTATCCATGTGGGGCTCTGGGGACACTGGTCTCAGTTTCATCCTCCCCTGGCCTGGAAGCTTTGTCTGTGGTTTCTCTGCACTGGAAGTTGTCATCTGCAGACCTGCTTTTCTGCAATCTGCATCAGGTCATGAGTTGTGACAAATAGTCCCTCAATAGAAATCAGTAGAAGGTCACTCTGGGGGCTGCGTGATGGAGGGCAAGGAGCCAGTGCACGCAATCTCCTTGTCTTCGGAGTGAGGTAGGAAGGAGCCCAGGGAGGGGTGTCAGCGGGAGAGGAAGCTGCAGGCCACCTGGTCCCTGCCAGAATAGGATCTGCCTCCGGCTTCTGTGGGGTGTGTGAGCCAGCTTGTCTGGGTTTTGATTGATGGAGGAATGTTTTCTTGACTGGCAAATATTTGCGTTCCCAAGTTGGCGAGGCTTCACTTCCTGGATTGTGCAGGCTACAAAAGAGCAAAGGAAAAGCGCTGGAGGAGCCACCGTTCAAAGACGGTGCCGCAGGAGGCCCACGTCACCAGCCTCGGTGTCTGATCTGTGCGGTAGGGCAGTGCGGCAGCTTAGGCCGCGGGGTTCTTGGGGGAGCAGGTGAAGCAGCGCAGTCCCTAACACCCAGAATGCGAGGCCACTCGAGTCCACAGCCAGACAAAGAAGCCTTCTCCAGACCCTAGTCGCTACTCAGCTACAGACCCCAGCAACAGCGCCAGCTCGGGGGAGGGGCTTCCAGGGGCACCCCCGGACGGGGGAGGGGCTTCTAGATGTGGGCCATGTGCCAGAGACACACGGATAAACGCCCACCTGTTGTAGAAATCCATTTAAGTGGAATCGTCAGAATAGGCAAATCCATAGAAACAGAAACATTAGTGCTTGCCAGGGGGTGGGAGAGGGAGGCTGTGCAGCAGCTGTCAATGGGAGCTAGGTGGCCTTCAGGGGTGAGAGAAGTGTTCTGGTATTAGAAAGCGTGATGGGCCTGCAAGGTAGCTCAGCGGGCTAAGAGCCTGCTTTTAGGCAAGTGCAGGGACCGGGATTTGATTCACTGCACCACATACAACACTGGCCCGCCCCCCAGGGGTGCTGCGCTGGCACTGAGACGGGGCATGGAGGTGCATGCCGGTAATCCCAGCACTGTGAAGGCTAAGACAGGAGGATCACTGTGAGTCCGAGCTGTGTAGTAAGACCCTGTACCAAATACATTAAAAAAGAAAGTGGCGGTGGCTGCACAACTGTAAATTTACTAATACCAAATTGTACACTTTTAAAAGATGGAATTTATATCATGTGAAGTACTCTTCAAAAAAGCTGTTTTGCTTCTTTGTGTTTTGCAGTGCTGGAGATTGAACCTAGGGCCTCCACGCTGAGCTATGCTCCCAGCCGTTTTTGTTTTGAGACAGGGTTTTGAGCTTTGGGCCTCCTGCCTCTGCCTCCCAGTGAGCTGGAATTCCAGGTGTGCACCCTTATGCCTAGCTACAAGTTGCAAAGGAAAGGAACCAAGAGCCAGAGGGATGGGGAGGGAAGGGGCCGAAATGGAATTAAGGTGCTTTATACACATAAGCCCACTCCCCGTGACAAATCTAGCCGTGTCCTCCAAGCAGCTAGTGCAGTAGTATTGGCGCTATCATAAAAATACTTTTTAAAAGTTCATTGTCACATGACGTGCACGCCTGTGATCCCAGGACTCGGGAAGCTGAAGCAGGAGGATCATTGCAAATTTGAGACCAGCCTGGGCTACAAAGGGAGCTCAAGGCCAGGCCGAGCTGCATAGCGAGACCCTGCCACAAAAAGACAAATAAAAAGTTCATTTCTTAAAAAGTTCCCAGGTCCCGGAAACACTAATAACCATCCTGAAACTATGACTCAATTTTCCCCTTAGGATAACAGCTCTACTACTTCTTTTGGATCCATTAGAACTTAGAGCACCCAAAGAGTTCACCAAAATGAGCTATCCATTTGGACATCAAGTCCATCCAGTTTTAGAGCAGTGATTTTCCCCGAGGGACAGAGATGTCCATAGCACCCCGTGCAGTGGGGCCCACCGAGGGGGAAGCAGCTCATGCAAGATGGCCCCAGGCAGCGCAGGGATGGACTGGGGACAGGTGCTCTGGAGGGTCACTCGCTTGTGTGCCTGACATAGGAGCTGGCAGCTCTTCTCGGCCTTTTTTACTCTGAGTAAGGAGACCGCAGGCCAGCGGAACAGAGAATTCCAGCTCTGAAAAGGTAGAGTTGGGAGAGACGCGCAGGGACCTGGCTGCCTCCCCGGGCAGCGCAGGGGCCCACCCCACGGCCTTCAGAGCCTCCGGGCCCAGGGCTCTCAGCTTCCCAGCCCGGTGGTGGCACAGCACTCTCTCCTCAGATCTCAGAGAAGCTTGAGGGGCAGCAGTAGTCTGACTAGCAGGTGTTGACTGTCACTGAGCTAGGAGGGTACTAGAAATGTGGTCACAGCAGAGGTGCAACATGGAAACCTGGGGGTGGAGGGCGCCCCCTTGTGTTACGGAGCTGAAATAAGTGGGCAGTGCCCCTAGGGGCCCTGGCAGGACGTGCCTGCACCAGTAGCTCTGAGCTGGGGTGGTCAGCAAACTCCTGCAGGGCTGGCCCGCTGCAGCCTGGGCTCTGGCTGGCGGTGCCCATTGCTTCACCTGTTGCTGTTCCCGAAAGGAAACGATCCACGTGAGGGCCGCGTGCGTCTGACACTGCTGTGTTCAGTCCTTGACAAGCCCTACCCTTGCAATAGCAGCAGGGCTTTCTCTTTGTCACCTGAGGGGAGAAGTGAAGCCTGCTCTCAGGCACCAGCCTTTGTCTGCTCCTATCTGGGACATTAAGGCACACAGGAGAGGGACAAGATGATTTGCACCAGAGAACCACAGGGTGGGTGGAGGAAGGACATGACACCGTGTCACAGGCAGGACACCTGGTGGCATGGCAGGTGAGCAGTGGGGATGCCTAACAGCGGGGTCTGTCTGCACCCAGCACCCTTCAGGACCTGAGTTTGGCCAGGAAGGGCCGCGCACGGAACCGTCCAGGTCTGAGCGGGGGCCACGCTTCTCCCACCTACCTGTGGTTCGCAGTCTGGCACGGTCCCGCCCTCGCTGCACCCTGGTTGCTTCTGGCAGCTGGCCGCCCCCTGGGCCTGGCGGGGCCGGCACGACAGCCCCACCGTGTGCACTGCTGCGAGGCCGGGCGCTCGCATGTGCCTCCAACATGGTGTGAACACACTCTTGTGTCTTTTTGCCATCTGCTGCTGTCATTAAAAAATTACATTTCCATCTGTTTTCACACTTTTCTCCCCTCCCAGCCTCATTCCTGCAGGAAGACAGCCTGCCGCTCAGGTTGCAAGACCAGAACGTTCTCTTGTGTCTTGGAACCTGGGATCTGTCCCTGGACTCCTGGTCAGGGCTAACAGGCTTTGCAGCCTAGAAGGGCCATTGGCCATGACCCCGGCCCACCCGACACCCCTGGGGGAGTCATTCACAGAGCCTTTTCATTGTTGGCTCTAATGAATATTCCTGGCCTGGACACTAAAGATGCATGACACATGAACCACAGACGCCAGCATCCAACCCCCAGAAAATACTCAAGGAACAAACCAGAGCAAGGCTCAGGGAGCAAGGCTTCGGGTTCCTCAGTCTCACTCTGTACCAGCCCCGAGAGGCACATGCCCCGTCTCCCCACCACGACTGCGAGGTCTGCATTGGAGCCAGCGCACACCAGCATCATGACGTGTTCGAGGCTGGAAGGGCACGGGCCAGGGGTGTGGGCATCTGTGTGTGCCCCTCACTCACCCTGCCACTCTCATTCCCACGGGAAGGCTGAGGAACTGTGGCTCAACAGCTCCAGGTCACCATGGGCAGAAGGTTTGCAGGGATAATGCTGTCTTGGTTGGGGAGCAGGACCCAAGAGAGGTCCGAGGGGGACAGGCTTATCCAGAAGGCTGAGCCAGGAGGCAGTGGGCCCTGAGGCAGGGCACCCAGTTCACGTTCCTCTACTGCCAGCTGGGGGTCCACCGGGCTGAGACCCTGTGGACAGCTGTGAAACCTGCCACTCAGTGTGGGGTCTGTGGACCCTCAGGCAGAGCTCCTGCCTGCTGGTTAGAGAGGTGCAGGGCCTGGGGGTGCAGCTCCGCGACGTGGTGATCCCTAGCATGCTCTAGGCTCCAGATTCTGCCTGCAGCACCACATATGAAAGAAAGAAACGTCTAGCATTGGGGCTGCGGAGATAGCTTGGCGGTCTAAGTGACTTCCTGGCAAGTGCAAGGACCTGGGTTCAATCTCTGGTACTGCATGCTGAGCCAGCCATGAAACTGGGCTTGGTGGCGCATGCCTGTAATCCCAGCACTGGGGAGGCTGAAACAGGAGAATCACTAGGAGTCCAATCTGCATAGCAAGACCAAATAAATAAATAAAATAAATAAAAGATTAAAAAAAGAAATATCCAGCCTTTAATTGCAGCTAGTCAGGAGGCTGAGGCAGGAGGACCACAAGTTCACGTCCAGCCTGGGCAATTTAGTGAGATGCTGTCTCAAAATAATAATAATAATAATAATAATAATAATAATAATAGTAGTAGTAGTAGTAGTACTATCTGCAGACTCATCCCAGACTGCTGAATCAGGATTGGAACTTGGACCCAGCCTCCCCCGAGGGCCCAGATCGTGGTTTGGATAAGAAGTGCGGCCCAGGCCTCATGTGCTGTGGGCTTGGTCCCCAACGTGCGGGATCAGACTTCAGGCTGAGGGCTCTGACTGTGGTATGGACGCCTCGAGAAGCGGCCTGAGCAGAGCAGGTCGCTTGGGCAGGGCCCCCAAGGCTGCCCTTCATCTCCAGCTCCTTCTCTGCTGGCTCCAGGCACTCACCTCTGTCCCTGTGCCCCTCTCTGTCTCTCCCTCCCTATCTCTCTCTCTCTCTGCCCCTCCCCACTTCCTGGGCACCGTGAGGCGAAGCTCTCCTCAGCCAAGCCCTGTGGCCAATGCTGGTTCTTCCTCACCTAAAAATAACGGCTGTTTAGACTGTGAGCAAGGATGGACTGCGTTATTCCTTAGAATGTGTTGCGGCAACAGGAATCTAGCACAGACATGCCTGTGGGAATCTGCCCCCACCCCGAGGACCCAGGGATGCCTCCCCTGGCCCCTCTGGCATTGGGGGCAGCTCCTGAGGTGTCAGCCTTGCACCAAGAGGTGGACACCCTCATTGGCAGGGGACAGTGCTTTCTCAGCAAGGGGTGGGGCCAGGGTCTGCTCCCTCACTGTCACGGTTCTCAGACCCCTGTGGGCAAACCGAGGCCCAGATAGGCAGGGACTTGCCTGGCCAGGATGACTGTGTCCTGTGGATCATTTTCCTTCACCCTGACATGCTGCTCTTGTTCCTGGCCCCACTTTGTGGTAGAGGAAAGACTCAGAGAGGCTGAGGGACTTTCCAAGGTCACACAGCACAAAGGCTTTCCAGATGAGGAAAGCTCGTGCTTGCTCTGCTCCTCCTGTCTCTTGGCCCATAAGAGGACCCGTCTGGTTCTCGTCCCTGCCCACATAAGAGCACTGACTGAGGAGGTCACTACCATGTTCTCCCCCGTGGGAGGCAGAGCTGGTGCACTAGATGTGGGGCGCAGCTGTCCTCACACAGCAGACGCCGTAGGAGTCGGCTCCTCCTGTGGTGTGGCTGTCCTGGGCCAAGACCTCTGTTCAGGAGATGGCCGGAGCCCACCACCTCTGTGCTGAAAGGAAGCCAGCAGGGGAACCTGGCCGTGCTGCCCAGGCCCCTGCCCCCACCAGCGAGCTGCTCACTCGCAGCCCTGGGCCTGTTGCCATGGGCACTAAAAGCCAGGCGCAGAGCGTGATCGGCCTCAGCAGTGCGCCAAGCACAGCCAGGGGAGGGCAGACCCTTGACCTGTGCACGCAGCCCCAGACCTCAGTCCTCGCAGCTCCAGCCCAGAGAGAGAGCACAGGTCAGGTCTCCTGCATGTGGGATGAAAAAGGTAGGCCCCAGACAGGAGCCGGGGAGCAGCGGCCGCGCCCAGGCTCAGCAAGGCCCTGGCTGGTGGCTGCTGGCACCAGGAGGTGGTCCTGCAGAGCTGCAGGTTGGTGGGTGGCACCTCCATGCCACCTGGATAACAAGGAGCCAGGGCCACCTGACTTGGTCTTGCAGCTTGCGGTGATGGCAGGACACACCCCTGGGGCTCTCCTGAGTTCCCAGGCCTCCTCCGCGAGCAGGACCACCTCCCACATCACCCTGCACCCAAAGCCCAGCTCAGGCTCTGCCTGGTGTGGGGGGGGGGGGCAGCCCAGCTGCCGAAAGAACACAGCCGCAGAAGCCAAGATCAGCGTGGTCCACAGGGACACAGGGACACCAAGAACCCGATGTTCTTTTAAATAACGCATACTGGCTCCACCAGAGAGACAACTGTCAGCACACCCACATGGCCAGCCAGAGGGGCCTCGTCTGGGACTGAGTAAGGCCAGGCGGCCTGAGACCCAAATCGAAGGTCAGGGTTCTCCCGCCCCACCTCTCTCCCTAGGGTGCTCCAAGCCACAAGGAGAAGTGGGAGTCTCCATTCGCTCCTTGGGGACGTCTTTATTTATAAAGCAAAAAGAACTTGTAAATCACCCTTGGGCCTGGGTCAGGATCTGTAAAACAACTGGTAAAAAATGGAGCAGCTCCTTTCCCAAGAAGCCCTTGTTGGTGACCCGGGGGCAGAGATCTGGGGCTGGTGTTTGTCTGGAAGCGGCCCTGCCCCTTGTTCCCAGCAGCGTCACCACCGTGGCCGTGCAGGCCCAGCAGTAGCACAGGGCTTCCAGCGGCGCCACCTGTCCTCCCAGCAGTGCTTTTGGCCAGCGTCCTGCACTCACCCTGCCACCCACTGGTCAGGGCCAGCGTCTGGGTCCTCATGCAGCTGTGAGCACATCTGCCTAGGCAGCCGAGGCCTGGATGCCGACTGAGGTCCCTGCAGGATTCCTCCTCATGCCTCAGGGTCCAGCTCTGCATCCTCTGGGCAAGACCCCGTCTCGTCTAGCCAGTCTAGGAGCAAGAGGGGTCATGTCAGGAGGGACCCATTTCCTGCATGCTGCAGCTGGGCCAGGGTCCCCTGACATCAGGCAGCCATGTCCCAGAGGCTGCAAAGGTCCCCAGGTGTTGGTCTCTGGGTTTCCCCTGCCTACGCCCAGGGTGACCCCTCAGCACCGCGGGCTCTCTAGGAGAGTGGAGGAGACCTGGTGCCCAAGTTTTATGCAGGAGTCAAAAACCAGGCAGGGGTCAAGGCCTCACTACCTGGGACCCTGAGTGCAAACAAGAAGTGCCATGGTGGACCGGCAAGATAGCTCAGTGGTCTAAGGTGCCTGCTTAGGCAAGCTTAGGCAGGCTCAGGGGACCACAGTTTGATCCCTGGCACCACATGCCACACTAGCCCCACCCTCAGGGTGGGCTGAGCTGGCCAAAAAAAAAATGAAGTGCCGTGAGGGCCCAAGCTGGGCCTGGCGTGGGGCGGGTGGTACTTGGGGTCAGGCTGCTCAGGATCCCAGGCCTGTCCTGCTATGGTTCCCAGAGGGGATGCCTGTGTCACTTTGGAGCCAGCCACCCCTGAGCTCAAAGGCCAAGAAGGCCAACCACAGACCTCGTGGAGGTCCACCTCCCCGATGCCCATGCCATATGTCTCAGAATTTAAAAATAAGAAGGGCTGGATACGGAGCTCAGAATGAAGGCCCAGGGCTTGACCACCAGGGTGACTCTGCAGTCATGAGTGTGACCCCCCCATACCTGCCAGGGGCCTGGCCCAGGGTGTGGTGACAGCAACCTCCATCCACCTAGCCTGGAGGGCAGCGTGCAACACCTACCCGAGCACCCTGCCCTGGCTGTGCCTCACCCTCCCCTGTTGACCAGTGCCAGACTCATGTCACTGCAGCTGAGCTGTGCCACCCAAGAGGGCATCCAGCCCCGGGCCCAAGGGATGAGCCCATGTCACACAGCTGAGCCCGAAGCCCGACCTCTCGGGACCTCAGTTTACTGGAACAAAAAGGGACAAAATGGGCACACAGCCCAGAGTCCCTGGGAGGCCCACATGGGCAGGCCCGCGCAGCCCAGAGTCCCTGGGAGGCCCACATGGGCAGGCCCGCGCGGCCCAGAGTCCCTGGGAGGCCCACATGGGCAGGCCCGCGCTCACACTACATGCATGCTGCTGCCGCCACTGTCACCAATACCATCGTGGCGGCTGCCTCAGACCAGGTGCAGCTGGCTCACACGTCTGCGTAGGACCAGGGCAGCACCCATTGCCCGACTGGACGATCCCATGAAGCAGCAGGCAGGGCCCGGCGGAGTGTGCATGTGTCCGCCCCACGCCCTCCCGTGCCGGGCAGGAGGCTCACCTGTGCGCCGGGTGTCCCTGGGCAGCATCAGGCCTGTGGGTGTGGGGGGTGTGACAATGATGTCAGGCACATCCAGGTGCTTGTCGCTCAGGACTGGCGCCTCGTCGTGGCTGCTGCTGGCGCTGACGCACGTCTTAAAGCCTGGGTGGGCGGCACACGTACACACATGCACAGAGACAGACATCAGGGCCGCGGGGTCCTGCTGCCAGCTGCCCGCTCAGCCCCAGCCACCACCATTCCTGCCTCACACGTGGGAAACCAAGGCACGGGGAGGTTCAGTGATCCCCGTGCAGCCTGTACAGCACCCCAGCAGGACCGACTCGAGCCCATGCGGAGACCCGCCCGGCCCGGGGCTCTGCCCACGGTCATGGCTCCCGCACATCAGCAGTGATCTTCTACTGACTAGCTGTAGGTAGTTTTACCAAGGAAACGCCGGGGCCTGGACTCATAAATGAGTGTCTCTCGGGACAGGGCTTCCTACGCTTTTCGGTACTGGCGATGGAACGCAGGGCCTGCAGGCTGAGCTCCATCCCCAGCCCTTTTAAAATCTCTTACTTCGGGGCAGTGTCTTGCTCATTTGCCTGGTCTGCACTCAAAACTGTGATCCTCCTGCCTCAGTCTCAGCGCTCCGGGACCACAGCTGTGTGCCCCATTTCCCGCTGCGCTCACAGACGGGGGCCGCTCAGGGTTTTGGCTGTCACATGTCAATCTGTGCTTTCCTAGGAAAGTGACTGCGCTGTGTGTGGCTCTGCTTGTGCGCCCACGAGGCCGCCTGGCCGCTCCCAGCTGCCACTGAGCCCGGCCACCCAGGTGCCCACAGAGCCTCCTCGGCAGCAGCTCCTGCCAGCCTCTCCCCAGTGCACGGGCCCACTCGCACCTCTGCCTCTCGTTCAGAGCTCTGCAGTCTACCCTGCCAGCAGTAGCCTGAAACCACGAATCCGCACGCCACACCCTGACTGGGCCGCCCACTAGCTCAGCTGGCCCACTCGCAGCGTTTCTCTAAGGCTGGAATTTTAGGCTGCAAAGCTGAGGCGTCTCAGGAAGGGGTGCCGAGACCAAGCGAGTTTGGGAACCAGTCATATCCACCTGTCGCCTCAATCCTGCCCCTGCCCCTGCTGAGACTCATGATGTGCTCAGAACATGAGGGCCCGGAGAGCTGGGCTCTGCCTTGCACTTTGCGAACTTAGACAAGACCAGAGGCCACTTCTGGGGACAGCTGTTCACATCTGTCAGAGCCGCAGTCAGGGAGGAGCTCCTAGGAACTGCTAATCCCGGGCCTCCTGCAGCCCTACCTGTCTCACGTCGCCTCCTGCCACCTGCTCATCTGATCCTAGACCCCCTCACACCTTGGCATTTCCTGGGCCCCAGCCTGGAACGTGCTTCCTTATCAGGTAACGAGCTCTTATGTAACCTTCAAAGCCCAGCATGACAAGCTGAGCTTTGGGGAAAATGCCTACCTGCCCTGGCTGCAGGCATCCTGTCTCCCCACCTTCCAGACCCGACCATGCCCACAGCACTCAGATCCTTCTGGCTTCCAGCTTCTGGGGTGCACACCCCACTCTTCCAACTCCCTTGCATCCACCTGGGCCAGTGAGCAGCAGGGCTTTGACTTTTGCAAGAGACAGACAGAACACTCCAGGCGCTGATGGGCCTGGCCTCACAGCCCCGGCCGTGTCCTCTTGCTGTGCTCCAGCGAGTGCTGGGCCCACAGGGAATGTGTTCTGGTGTCAGGGCTGGGCCTGGCGGGGCTGTATGACGTGGGACTGGGACCCACTGGCCTCGGCCACTCAGCCACGCCCAGCGCGGTGCTCTGATGGGCCGTGCAGCGGCAGGCCCCGGCCCAGCTGTGTGTGGTGCTGCGCTATCCCGGCCCTCTGGGAGGCTGAGACAGAAGAAGCCTAGGTATGAGCCCTGCCCAGGCAAATCAGTGGCTTAGTAAGACCCTGCCGCAAAGTAAAATAAAAAGGGTCAGGGACGTAGCTCGGTACGCGGGCCTTGCATTCATTCCCCGGTACTGAAAAACAAAATAAAAATAAAAACGTGGCCCTGGAGTCTGAGCCTGGGAGGGGACTCTGACTCAGAGTGTGGTGGCTCTTCCTCCCTGGCACGGGGAGCAGGGCAGCTGCCACACAGCAGGCGCCGAGGCCGCCCTATCCATGGTGGCAGGAGCCTCCTTGCACTGGCCCTGCACCCCTCGAATGCGCCGGCGCTCTGTAGAGCCCCTCTTCAGGCCTGTGCCGGGCTTGGGAGCTGCAGCAGGGGCAGCTTGTTACGTCTCAGCCATTGGCACGCGCTGCTGACAGGGGCTCCAGGGAGCCAGGCCCACGGCACTTGCCCTGTTTCAGTCCAGGAAGACGCCACCTGCGGATGCCTGCTGTGTGCTCTGGCACAGGAGGAGGCCCAGCGCTGGGACCAGGCCTCAGGCCGTGTGTCCCCAGCAAGTCCCAGCTGCTCTCTGGGCCTCTGGGGTGCACTGAAGCCTCGGCTCACCTGAGAGGAGCCCTGACCCCTGGGGTGAGGCCTGGGCTGCCCTGCTGGCCGCAGCTTCTGCTCACCCAGATCCCGTCACACTGGGCATCCAGGAGTCATGTCAAGGTCACCACTAAATGTACCCGTCAAGGCTCCTTGGGCTCTGATGGGCGAAGCACACTGACGCCCCGCCCCACGGCCTGCGTCACTCAGGTGAGCCGGGTCTGTGCTCCACCACAGGTGTTCCTCGTCATTCACAATATACTATTTTCTTATTCCCTTTAAAGCACAGTGGTTACGCCGGCAAACTGGGGACCAGAGAGGGCGATGGGCGCCCCACCGATGCACGGCTGCCAAGGGCACTCAGGGCTGTGCCCCCCAGAGGCGCTGACCCCAGCTTCCTGGTGACTGCTTCCAATGGGGGCCGCAGCACGCTCCACTCTACCTCCGTAGCTGGTCGTCAGCCACAGAGCTGTGGGGTGGCCAGGGCAGCAGCGGGCACCCAGGTCAACCTCAGAAACAGCCCTGGCACGGCTGCTTCTGTAGGATCAGAGCTTCAGAAGCCCAAGCAAGCTCACACCACCCCTCAGCCAACCCTGCCTGGCCCCCAAGCCTGGCTGCTGTGTGTCGGCGTGGGGGCTGCGTGTGGCCGTGTGGATGTGACCCCCTGTGCACCGCCCCACATCCCTGAAGGCTTCCAGGAAGCCCCCACTGCAGCAGGCGCTGTGAGCCCGCTCAGGCACAGGCCCTCCCAGTGCGGCCCCCAGGACTGCCTCCTTGAACCTTCAGAAACCCTGCCAGAAAGCCAGCTTCCCCTGGCCACACAGCATGGCCGCTGTGGCCGGGGCTGGAAGGCAATACGACAGGCTTCATTTGGAAGCAGAGGAGGAGAGGAGGGCGGGAGGAGCCAGGAGGGCAGGAGGGAGCTGCTCAGGGATCAGGCCGACTTTAGGGATTAGGAACCAAACGCAAGCCCTGCCTCAGACAAGGAGCTCATTTGTGTGTCGGGCAGAACTGTTATTTGTTAATTATGTGCCCGCCTTGGGCTATTACAAGCCTATTTTCTGAGAGGCAAGGCTTGGCTAGGATCCAGCCCTAGAAGGCAGAGACCTGGGCCCATGGGAGACCCTGGTGCAGGAGCCTGAGTGGGGGAGGGCGCTTGCGGTGGGCGCTGCAGCCCTCAGCCTGGGCAGAGCCAGGAGCAGGCTGCAGTGTAGAGCTGGCTGCGCCTTTGCTCCTGCTGGTGCCCGTCGTGGGCTCGGCTGCTACTCGAATCCCCGGGGAGTGTGGCCTGCATCCCACATGGCTGACTTCTGGGTCTTGGAGGGCCCAGAGCTGGGGGTCTGGCAGCCAGGACGGGGACCCTCCGCCAGGGGGACTGCAGGAACACGATGCATTCCACTCTGTGCCTCAGTTTGCTTGACTGAAATGGAGCTGTGACACTAGCCTTATGGGAATGTCACAAGTGGCAAGGGGTGTGTGGGGGCAACGGCCCAGGGTGGTCCAGCTGTGGGGGGCACAGAGGTAGGGCGCGGAGTTGGGCTGCCACTGTGCTCCCACCAAGCCGCCATCCCTTCCCAAGCAGCTGCAGCTGGCCCGTGCGCACGGGGCCTGCGCACCCCACTGTGTCTGCGCCTAGGGTGGAGGCAGGTAACAGGACAGGCTTCGCTCTTCTCTGTGACTCACCTACTTCTCATCCTGGGCCAGGCTAGCCTGAGCCTGAGACCGGGAAGGACACCATTGCCATGGCCTCTGGGGACAGGACACCATCGCCATGCTAGTGCTCAGTATGGCCCAGCCACCCAGCGGCCACTGCAGGGACAGCAGAGGACAAGGGAGACCCTGCCTGGGCATCGTGGCTCATGGGCGCCCTCTAGGGCTTCTTTGAGGAACAGCAGCTACCTGAAGCCAGGCTTGTCGGGGCTGGCATAGTTAGGGCAGAGGGGCCAGCTGTGAGCTTCTCCTTCCTCCCCTGCTACAGGGTGGATGACAGAGCCAGGTGCAGGCTTCAGCGTGGTCCCGATGGCTCGTCCCCGCTCAGGGACGTGGGCACCCTGTGCACAGCAGCCTTAGAAACACCACGGGTACTACTTGGTCCTGATGCAGGGACTCAAGCTATCCCAAGCACCCTGGGTGCAGCCTGGGCACTGACGCACAGTCACTGAGTGGGGGCCATGGCACTCCTCATTCGAGGGCAGCACCCAGAGTGCCCTTTGGGAAGCAGGGACTTGGCCTTGCTGCAGCCTCTGTGTGTCCTGGGCTTCCCACTTGGGGCATCAGTGTCAGCCCAGCAGCGAGCCTCAGGCAGGCGCGCAGGCCAGGGGCACGTGGGCCACATACCACGCGCCCTGCATGGACACCCATGAACTAGTGGTTCCCACACGGGTTTCTCTGTGCCTCCCACACTCTGCCTTCCTGGGCGCCTGTGCCAGGCTCCAGCAGCAGAAATGGAGCCTGAATCTCAAAGGCCCAGCTGGGCACCGACAGCAAGAGTCCCCGAGGCTGGGTTTTGATGACAGAGATGCGGGAGGTGGGCCATGGGAGCTCCTGCAGGGGCCCCACCAGGGGCCCACCCACCAAGGTGCAGCCACCAGGGCCAGACCACAGCCTACCCTCGCCATAGCCCCAGGGCGAGGACAAAGGCGGATCATCCACAGTGGACTGGAGATAGC